GTATGACTTTATCTCGGAGGAGTTAAAATTGAGTTCATGAAGTAAACTTGCTCCGTCCGATTCCTGTTTCTGCCATCATCTCCAGCGCTCAAAGATACTTTCCCATTGTCCAAGTTCAAAACATCAAATTTTTCATGAGTTGTAAAATCCATAAGTTCAATAGCAAAACAATCATTATTATCACATGGATTTTTATTAGCACTAAAAACATTAAATTTGATTGTTTGATCATGAACAGTCATTGTAAGATCACCACTAGCACAATCAATTAGCGTTTTCGACGTGGCTAAAAAAGGTCTCCCTACGATAAGAGGTATCTCCCTATCCTCATCTATATCAAGTATAACGAAATCGACAGGGAAGATAAATTTATTGACTTTCACTAGCACATTCTCTAAAATACCTTTTGGGTAAACTAAAGATCTATCGGCTAATTGAAGAGTTATAGTCGTCGGTTCAATTTCTCCTAACCCAAGATTTTTAAAAGTAGAGTACGGCATAAGATTAATGCTAGCACCTAAATCAATGAGCGATCTAAAATTTTTACCTCCTATAGTACAAGGAATATTAAACTTACCTGGATCGCCGAGTTTTTGTGGAAGAGGCCGAGTAAGAATTGCACTAATTTGCTCCGTGAGTTGGATCATCTCGTTCCCTTGCAATTTCTTACTTTTCTTCACGAGGTCCTTGAGGAACTTCACCCACTTTGGCATCTTTTGAAGTGCTTCAATGAAAGGAATATTTATGCGAATTTCCTTCAACTTGTCCAAAAATCTTTGATATTCGGCATCGGGCTTCTTCTTTACAAACTTTTGAGGATAAGGAATTGGAGGGACTTGTGAAGGCACCGTTGATGGTGGCTCTTCATGAGTTGATTCTTTTTCCTCATTCACTTTCGGCTTCTCGATTACCGTGTTTCTCTTCTATTTTCGTGGGGCTTCCTCCAATTGCTTACCGTTCTTCAAGGTGACTGCTTGGCACGTCTCGTCCTCGATCTTTTTCGTTAGCAATCTTTGTGGATATGGGATTGGCTTGACCCATTCGGCTACAGTGACTTGCGACTTGACTTGAATTTCTTCCTTTTTCTCGATCTTGAAATCGATAGCTTGGCACGTCTCGAACTTTTGCTTTCGAGGATCTTCCGTATTTGATGGCAATGCTCCCGCCGGACGTTTCTCTTGGTTCACAACGAATTGAGCAAATTGATTCTCCAAATTCCACAGCGAGGCTTGGGTAGCAGTCATGAATTGGGCCAATATCTCCTCCGTGTTTGATTTTTGGGCTGGTGGATTGTTGCCTTGAAAGCTTTGTTGAGGAGGGGCTTGATTTTGGAATTGACCTTGAGGTCTTTGATTTCCTCCATATTGCCCTTGTGATCTCCACCCTTGATTTGGAATTGGCGAGGCGCACTGTTGACGTAGTTGAGCGACTCCACATCTTGTTGGCATTGGAGCGTGTAATGATTTCCACCGCAAATTTCACAACATGGAGAATCAATGGCTTGGACTTGTTGTGGTGGACTTGCTTTGATGTGCTGCAGAAAGAGTTGATTTTGTTGAGCAATTTGGGTCACTTGAGCTTGAAGGGCCGTAATTGCATCTAACTCCAACACTCCGGGAACTTTCTTGGCTCCACTAACCGTCCTCTCGCTTGACTTGGCAAACCGATTTTGAGCAATTTGATCCAACATGATAAAATCATCCGGTATCGATTGACTCATAAAATTTCCCCCGGCTGATGCATCTAAGACCGTTCGTGCATTCTCGTTAATCCCTTGGTAGAAGATGTGGATTTGCCGCCATTGTTCGACTCCATGTGTTGGACACTGCCGCAAAAGAGTTTTAAATCTCTCCCATGCCTCGTATAATTGCTCGCCTTGCTGTTGGACAAAATTATGAATTTCTCGTCGGATTCTCTCGTCCTTCTCGGGTGAGCTATAAACTTTCATGAAAAGGTTGAGGAGTTGATGCCACGATGAGATAGAGTGGGGGGCTTGGGACATCAACCACTGGCGAGCTCTTCCTTGTAAGGAGTGCTTGAAGAGAATTAATTGAAGCGCCTCTTGGGAAACGCCGTTTTGACGGTGGGAGTTACAGGTATCTAGAAAATTGACAATGTGAAGATGGGGATCTTCACCTGCCAATCCACTAAATAACCCGTTATTTTGGAGCATCGTCAAGAGACCTTGCTTGATCTCAAAATTGTGCGCCTCAATGGGTGGATATTGGATGCTCGGGCGGAATCCGTCTAGAGTTGGGATTATGTAATCTTGAAGTGCCCGTGGACGAACTGCTGGCTGTGCTGGAAGTTGAGGGGGTGGGTTGTTAAGTGTATATTTATACACTTAATTGTGCCTTTTAATTGGAACTTTTGGTGTGTTTTAACGATAATTGGTGCTTAAAATGGTTATTATTTGTATTTTAGGTGCAAATTGAAGAATTGGCAACTTATGGGGTGAAAACTGCAAATTCGGAGAAAACGTGGGCCAAAAGTGAAAATATCGAAACTCTGAAGAATTGAAGACCGGACGGCCGTCCGGATTTTAGAGCTTATTCTCGCACGGCCGTCCGGATTTACGAGGTGGCGCAGTGAAGGAAGTTTAATTACACAAGGAAACCCGCCCTATTATATTTTTGCACCCTATTTAAAGGCCAAAAGCACACAATTAGGGATCTATCTTTTATCTTTTATCTTTCATCTTTCTACACGCAATCAAGGAGCACAAGAACGAAGACGAAGACTTGACGAATCTTCATCATAGTTCTCCTCTTTTATTTTTATTCATAGCTTTTATGTTTTTTCGTATTTTTATTATGTTTTTCATAGAGAACATGAGTAGCTAAGTTTTTATTCTAGGATTTTATTGGAACCCTATGTGGTAATTCGAACCTATTTTTCTACTTTTATGCAAGTTTAATTCTTCGATTATTTCTTCTATTTTGATCGTATTTAGCGCATGAACGTAGCTAATTTATGTTGCTATTAGTTATTGTTAGAATTGATTGACAGATCGTTTTAATAATTAGAACAGGGATAGAAGAGCATTCGAGTAGTTTTCACCGGATGAATGTGTTAATTGCATGTATTATCGTAGACATATAGATAATACCTTAGGTAGCCGTTTACGAGACTTGTTATTTAATGCTTTATTCATACTAGGTTTGCATAGACATATAGTAAATCTTTTATGAATAATAGACTCATAATACACGCGACAGCGGGTTATGAGTAATTTCGTGTCTTGGGTTAATAATCGGGAATTGTAACTTGCATGATAGAAGATTAATTGGGTGAAGAATTATCGCATAGGGGGAAGATAAAATCCTAGATCCGTTTTATATTGATATTTTCTCGTGTTTAATTGCTTTCTTAATTAGTTTAATTTATTTAGTTAATTAATTTGACAACCCTGCGTAGGCTGGATAAAAATCGTAATTGTTAGGATTTGGTACTTAGGATTAAATAATTTGCGTATTCCCTGTGGGATCGACATCCGACTCTCACGAGTCTACTTTACTACTTGTTTGCGATACGTGCACTTGCGTGTGGGTATTTAGCACCCAACAAGTTTTTGGCGCCGTTGCCGGGGAACTACGGCTAAATTATTTATTTATCCTAATATTAAATTTGAGCAATTTTTCTTACTTCAGCCATTTTTTTTTAATTTATTTAATTATTTTATTATTTTGTTTTAGGTACTTTTTATGCGAAGAGGACACGACACGAACTTGCTACCTCTCGACCCCGAAATTGAGCGAACGTTTAGGCAAGCCAGGAGAAATCAACGGTTAGCTCAAAACGCTCCCGCAACGATGGAAGAAGAGATTAATCGCAGGGGAGATGACCAAGGGCGCCTACCGAATGCAGTGGCGGAAATCGTCAATGAGCAAGAGCCACGCCAACTAATTAATCCACCACCGCGTCAACGAGCACTGCATGAGTACACCGTTCCAACACTCAATGGGTTTCAATCAAGCATCCAGCAGCCCCCCATTGAAGCTAACAATTTCGAAATTCGAGCGGGACTCCTCACGATGCTCCAAAACAATGGGTTATTCAGCGGATTGGCTCATGAAGACCCACATCTCCACTTGGTCAACTTCCTCGAGACGTGTGATTCGCACAAGATGAACGGAGTATCACCCGAAGCACTGCAACTCCGCCTGTTCAAGCACTCCTTACAAGGAGCAGCCCGAGAATGGTTACAAACTCGCGCACCGCACTCCATCTCGTCTTGGGCCCAGCTAGCACAACTTTTCATGAACACATACAACTCCCCAACAAAAACTGAGGGAATCCGGAGAGAAATTCAAACTTTCATACAAGAAGCCGGTGAAGCATTATTCGAGACGTGGGAGCGGTTCAAACAGTTAGTAAGGAGGTGCCCGAATCACGGACTGCAAGAGTGGCGCCAACTGCAAATATTTTACGATGGATTGCAAGACAACTCGAGAACCGTGCTCGACTCTGCAGCTGGAGGTATGTTCATGAGTTTGACCTACGACGAAGCATACGAACTCTTGTAGCGAATTGCTAGAAATAAATACATGCGGGCATCGGACCGGTCGAATAGCGGAGCAGTCAAGACGGGAGGAATTTTGGAATTAGATGGGGTCACTGCAATCACGGCCCAGTTAGAAAAGCTATCGAAGCAAGTAGCGGCTTTGCAAACTCAGCAAGTCCATGCAGTCCAAGCTCCCGACCAAGGCGTAGATGAAACGGAGTCTCTAAATTATGTGCATGACACCAACCGACAACAGAGGAACCCGTACTCCAACACGTATAATCCGGGATGGAAGGATCACCCTAACTTTGGGTGGGGAGGAAATCAGCAAGGGCAAAGGCAAGCACCACCTCAAGGCCAACCGCCTAATTATTCACGACCAGCTCCCGGATTCCAAAATCCGCCTCAAGCACCACCTCAAGGTGGAGACCTCGCAAATATCTTGGCCCAATTTATGACGACCACCCAAGCATCCATTCGAAATTTGGAAACACAGATGGGCCAATTTGCGACCCAATTGAACGCGAGGCCAGCCGGTACACTACCGTCAAATACGGAAGACCCTCGAAAGAGCACCAACGAGCAATGCAAAGCCGTCAGTTTGAGGAATGGAAGACAACTAGAAGAAGTGGCGAAGAAGGCAACAAGCAAGGATTTGGGGAAGCAACAAGAAAAAGAAGCGGAAACTCTGACAGATCCACCAGGTGAGAAAAGGGTCGTTGCGCCTAAGCCGACCCCTCAGGTACCTTATCCTCAACGTCAGATAAAGGCGAAAAATGAGTCGTATTACAAAAGTTTTCTTGAGCAATTGAATGAATTACATATTAATATTCCTTTTACTCGAGCACTTGAACTAATGCCTCATTGGGTGAAATTTTTGAAAGACATGGTATCAAAGAAACGGAAATTCGGTGAACATGAGATGATAGCTTTAACCGAACAATGCAGTGCCATTCTTACTCGCCCAATTCCACCAAAGCTTGGAGACCCGGGTAAGTTTACGATTCCAGTCGCTATCGGAGGTAAGTTCTTTGCAAAATCTCTCATAGATTTAGGTGCGAGCATTAATCTCATGCCTTTCTCAGTTTTTCAAAGTTTGGGATTAGGAGATATAAAATTGGTATCGGTGACTTTACAGTTAGCCGATAGATCACTCATATACCCAAAAGGAATAGTAGAGGATGTGTTAGTTAAAGTAGATAAATTCATCTTTTCTGCAGATTTTGTAGTTCTTGATATGGAAGAACATAAAGAAATTCCCTTGATTTTGGGAAGACCTTTTTTGAGAACGGGTAGAACTATAATTGATGAATATAATGGAATTTTATCTATGTCTTTGGGGGATGAAACGATTAAATTTGATGTTTTCCGTACAATGAAACACCCTCAAGAGGGTGATGAATGCTTTGCTTTTGATGTGTTATATCAATTGAATTTTGATTTTGTTGAACCTTTAATTGCGGATCCGTTGGAAGCCTCTTTGAGTGTAAGAACATCAGTTGAGGAAGAAGCAATGACGGAACAATTATGTTGGTTGGATTCAGCAAAGCCGCTGTCAAGACCACGCTTTGAGAGTTTGGAAACGGAGATCATCGGTCACTTTTAAGCCTTCAGTGATCGAACCTCCGAAACTTGAGCTTAAATTTTTACCATCTCATTTAAAATATATGTATCTTGGAGCTCATGAGACCTTACCTGTTATTATTTCTTCATCTTTGACAGGTCTACAGGAAAAGAGACTTTTGGAGGTCTTGCGAGAGCACAAGCTAGCACTTGGATGGGAAATTGCCGACATCAAGGGCATAAGTCCAACTTTTTGCATGCACAAGATCATATTGGAGGAGAGCCATAAATCTTCGGTGGAACAACAGAGGCGATTGAACCCCATCATGAAAGAAGTTGTGAAGAAAGAAATCATCAAGTGGTTAGACGCAGGTATTATTTTTCCTATTTCCGATAGTGCGTGGGTTAGTCCGGTACAATGTGTACCCAAGAAGGGGGGAATGACTGTTATAAAAAACGAAAAAAATGAATTAATCCCTTCTAGGACAGTAACGGGTTGGCGAATTTGCATGGATTATAGAAAATTGAATAAAGCCACTCGAAAAGATCACTTCCCATTGCCCTTTATTGATCAAATGCTTGATAGGCTAGCTTGTCAAGAATTTTATTGCTTTTTAGATGGGTATTCCGGTTATAACCAAATTGCCATAGCTCCCGAGGATCAAGACAAAACCACTTTTACTTGTCCTTTTGGTACTTTTGCTTTTCGACGTATGCCTTTTGGTTTATGCAATGCTCATGCTACTTTTCAACGGTGTATGATGGCAATTTTTACGGACATGGTTGAAGGTGGTCTTGAAATTTTTATGGATGATTTTTCTGTCTTCGGTGATACGTATGACACTTGTCTCCAAATACTGGCTAAGGTTCTTCGCAGGTGTGAAGAGACAAATTTGGTGCTCAACTGGGAAAATGCCACTTTATGGTGCAAGAGGGGATCGTGCTAGGACACAAGGTGTCAAAGAAGGGGTTAGAAGTCGATCGAGCAAAAATCGAGACAATCGAGAAATTACCGCCACCAATTTCCGTAAAGGGGATTCGAAGTTTCTTGGGACATGCGGGCTTCTATAGGCGGTTCATCAAGGATTTTTCCAAGGTTGCCAAACCATTGTGCAATTTGTTGGAGAAGGACGTCAAATTTGACTTCAATGACGAATGCCTCAAAGCCTTCGACGACTTGAAAACAAGGTTAGTAACTGCTCCTATTATTGTTGTGCCCGATTGGAATGAACCTTTTGAGCTTATGTGTGATGCCAGCGATTTTGCGGTAGGTGCCGTGTTGGGTCAAAGAAAGAATAAAATTTTTCATTCAATTTACTATGCTAGTAAAACTCTAAACGATGCACAATTAAATTATACCACCACTGAAAAAGAGTTGCTAGCAGTTGTTTTTGCATTCGAAAAGTTTAGATCATATCTTATAGGCACCAAAGTCATTGTCTTCACAGATCACTCGACTTTAAAATATTTGATAGAAAGGAAAGAGGCAAAACCTAGACTTATTAGGTGGGTGTTATTGTTGCAAGAGTTCGATTTGGAAATTCGTGACCGTAAGGGTAGCGAGAACCAAGTAGCCGATCATTTATCTAGGCTAGAAACGGAATTCAAAGATCCAATTTGCATTAATGAAAATTTTCCGGATGAACAATTGCTTGTTATTAATAATCAAGAAGTACCATGGTATGCGGATTTTGTGAATTATTTAGTTAGCCATGTACTTCCACCCGAGCTCACTTTTCATCAACGAAAAAAGTTTTTACACGATGTGAATTTCTACTTTTGGGAAGAACCCTTTTTGTTTAGACAATGCAGCGATTTAGTCATTCGAAGATGTGTACCGGAAAGCGAGCAAGGAGATATACTTTTTCACTGCCATGGCTCGGATTATGCGGGACATTATGGAGGTGAGTGCACGGCGAGAAAGGTGCTTCAATCAGGTTTCTTTTGGCCAACTTTGTTTAAAGATTGCTATAATTTTGTTTCAAGTTGTGATAGATGCCAACGAGTTGGTAATATTTCAAGGAGGCACGAACTCCCATTAAATACAATGATCGAAGTAGAGCCCTTCGATGTATGGGGAATAGATTTTATGGGGCCTTTTGTCCCATCATTCAATAACCTATACATCTTAGTGGCCGTCGATTATGTATCTAAATGGGTTGAGGCGGCCGCCTTTCCTACTAATGATTCTGCAGTGGTTTGTGCTTTCTTAAAAAGACAGATTTTCACTCGCTTTGGAACGCCACGAGCAATTATTAGTGATGGAGGCACTCACTTTTGCAATAAACAATTCGAAGCACTCTTGGCCAAGTATGGTGTAAAGCACAAAGTCGCATTGGCCTACCACCCTCAGACGAACGGGCAAGCCGAGGTCACGAATCGTGAAATCAAAAACATCCTCGAAAAGGTTGTGAGTCCTACCCGGAAGGATTGGTCGAGAAAATTAGATGATGCACTTTGGGCATATCGTACAACTTACAAAACTCCACTTGGGATGAGACCGTTTCGATTGATTTATGGCAAGGCGTGTCATCTACCGGTTGAATTGGAGCATAATGCGTTTTGGGCAATTAAGAAGCTGAATTTCGATATTGAAGCGTGCAAGGAGAAACGAATGCTGCAACTCAACGAGCTCGATGAATTGAGATTGAATGCGTATGAAAGCAATCGTGTATACAAAGAGAAAACCAAGCTTTGGCACGATAACAAGATATTGCATCGAGAATTTCAAAAGGGGCAATTGGTTCTCCTATACAACTCCCGTCTAAAGTTGTTTCCGGGAAAACTCAAGTCACGATGGTCCGGACCGTTTACTATAATCGACGTATTTCCACACGGCGCAGTCGAATTATTGGATCCCGAAACCGAAAAATCGTTCAAAGTCAATGGGCAACGCCTCAAGCATTATCGTGGAGGGGAATTCAATCGCCAAGTGACTTCGGTCACGTTAGCTTGAACAAAGAAGCAGACAAAGTCCGGCTGAAGACTGTAAACTTAGCGCTTCTCGGGAGGCAACCCGAGCTTTCGTTTTTCTTATTTTATGTTATTTTAAATTTTTAGTTTTGTTTTTATTTTATTTTTCTAAAAAAAAAAAAAAAAAAAAAAAAAAAAAACTTTAGGGGCACTAATAAGAAGTTTTTATTTTTCAGGGACCTAATTGCAATTATTCACACGGCCGTGTGAGATTTCGGTGATGCTACTGCCCAAAATCACAAAACGGCGCGGCCGTGCGGATTTTTCACCTAAATCTCGCACGGTCGTCCGAAATTTAGAGGAGCTACTGCCCAATTTCGAGAAACGGCGCGGCCGTGCGGATTTCAGGCTTAAATCTCGCACGGCCGTCCGAGATGAAAACCGGGCAGATTTAAAAGGGTTTTCCCCACAAAAATTCTTACAATTTCCCATTCCCCTCTCTCTCCTACTTCGAACCCTAACCTTCCTCTTTCAAAATTTTCACTTTTCTTTGACAAATTTCACCAGAAATTCACCAACTACACACACATACTACTTAATCTTGGTGGTTTCTTGTTGATTTGCGCAGGGAGGATTCAAGCAAGGTGCAATTTTCTCTCAAAACCCATTCCACCAAGAACGCCCACAAGGTGTTCGACGATTTGCCCGAGTCAAGTTTGGGGAAATTTTGCACATCAATTCACTTCTAATCCCTTCCACACGCACTCTCAAGTCATGGGGAAACGAGGACGTGACGGGGAGGGCACCTCACAAGGCGAAGGCACTTCTAAAGGCAAGGGGAAGGGCAAGAAAATCGATCAAATCCCAACACCCGACGACGATGCTTTTTGTGTCGAAGGCGCCAGTGCTCGTTTTGAGAAGCAAAAAGTGAAGAAACTTGTGACGGAGCGTGCATATGAGATCACCCTTCCACAATTTGCGCCGTTGCACCAAGAATTCCTACGACGAGGGTGGCAAGCATTATTGGAACCGGAGGGGTCGATCAACTTATCGTTGGTCCGCGAGTTCTACGCCAACACCCGTATCCTCCTAACAACGGATCGGAAGTCGAGCACGGTTCGAGGAAAGAGGGTCGATTGGTGTGCCCAAGCCATCAATTCATTTTATCACCTCCGACATGTGCCATTCAATTGGGAGCAAATGCAACTTGCGGTCACAATAGATCAACTCGCCGAGGTGTTGTGCGATGGACCCCCAATTTGGGCCGACCTCTCAACCGAAGAGGCATACGAGTTGGAGTGGAAATGCATCCACCAAATAGGCAAGGCGTGCCTTACGTTCATTTGTGCCAACCTTATTCCCATCCGCTCGTGGACTCACGTGGATCCCGAACGGTGCGCTCTTGCCTACTACATTCTCAAGGGCACACCGATCAACATAGGAGAAATCATATCCGACCGATTTTGGACCTCCATGGTCAACAACGCCAAAGGGTTTTATTTCCCATGCCTAGTTACCGGTCTATGCAAGAAGGCGAAGGTCCCAATCAAAACGACGGACATTCTCACACCGATTCGGAAGCCGATGAGTAACCTTGCGGCCCGACAATACAAGGCACCCATCCAAGATGGCGAGCAACCCGTCGATAACCAACCAATAGCTCCACCCGAGGGTCCAAGTACAAGTTCGGACCGCCGTTTTCAAAGAAGAATGGAGTGAGAGTTGGTGATCACGAGAAATCGGCTTGCCACGGTGGAGCACAAGGTGAGCACGATTGAATCCCTCCAACGGTGGTCGGGAAAGATGCTCCAAGCCATTGTGCGCCATTTGGCATGCGGCAATCCCGAGTGCGCCGAACCGGCTCCGTTGCCCGCACCGATTCTTGAGCCGATACCCGAGCTTTCGGATGAGGAAGAGGATGGTGATGCTCATGCGCAAGGTGGAGTTGGTGAGCAACCCAACGATGGTCCCGACGCTTAAACATGTGTTTTCTAACCTTAAACTCCGGGCGAATCACATTGAGGGCAATGTGAATTTTAAGTTTGGGGGTGGTTAACTATTGTTTTCTTTTATGTGCGCCTTATTTATGTTTTTCTTGTTTGTTATGTTGCATGCTTTTGTTTTTGTTTT